GTGTGATACCACAGTCTCCTTAAAATAGATTTGCCGCCTCACCGTTGGGTGCTGGAGGTACGCCGGCGTCTACTTTCCAGGATACGACGGTTTTTACCAGCTACAACAGAAGCACCTTCTGATTAGCTTAGCGAACGGACAACGGCAGCACTCTCTCTCAAGAAAAAAATTATAGGAGAAGTAGACTGAGAGTGTATGGATGTCAAGGAAAAATTCTATATATCTTTTCAAGGAATAGGGCCTCCTTTTATACACCATGGGGGAGAGGGGAGGAGCCTCTAGCCATCAAGGCTGGCAACTAATGCTAGTAAAACTGCCTAATCAATTTTGTAAAACTGATGAGCCTTAAATGTGTGAGTTATATACACATTTATGAGACAATTTCTTATTCAACTATTTTTCTCTAATAGTGAGATCTCTACAGAGGACAACTGGAATTACCCAGCATTTCACTCCCCCTAACAGTCGAACCTGAGTCACACCTATGGAGAAGGATACCTTCTTCACTAGGCCACCACCTTCGGTGTAAAATGCTATTGTAGTTTGGTATTTCCAAATCCTACACAAGAAGTTAATTAATTTTTTATTTAATTAAAAAATTACGAATCGTGTCGTGTGCACTGGTGAGGGAAGAGGGCCTTAGGACATGGGAACAAATTGGCTATCTCTTTTCTTTAAAAAATAAAATAAAAAAATAGATAACTATTTTTAAAATTATAATTTTCATTATTTTTTTTTAAAACATATGCAATTAAAACATATAGTTACTGATTATTATTTTGATTTTTTACAAAAATATTTTACTCAATAAATTTTAGAAAGTGAATGATTTAAATCATCGAGGTCGACTTCGAAATGAACCCTCCAAGATCAAATGTTGATGTAGGGTAGAATAATGAAATGAAAATGAAATGCAAATATTAACCATGAATTTAACAAAGAGATACTTTCTCTTGAAATATATTAATTCTCTAAAAAAATAAATTGTTCTGCCTTAAAGCTTTACTACCCATATTTATAGAAGAACTAATCTTAAATTACAATAGGAAAGTAAGAAATATAATGCTCACTAATCGAGTCTAAAATCAAAGACAATACAAAAGTTACAAAAAAATAGAAAGATTTGAATTAAGCTCAAATTTGAAAATTAAAATAAAAATTACATATTTTGTAAAAAAAAAAAAAACACTTAACCTCAAACGGATTTGTTTAGACCAAGTAACTAAAGAAACAAAAATTTCTTAAAATGGCAAAATCGCGAAATTTGAGGCCTAAACATTGAAATTTGATCGAAATTTATCATACACCATAGCAAAGCGATGGGTGTTAATCGTGACATCATTTTTTATGTCTTGATTGAATTTTTCAACATTTTGAACACATACCAACTTGCATTTAGTAATATCTTTTTCCTTTATCATATTTGTCCTTGAATTTCACAAATTTTATGACCAAAAACTCTGCATCAAACACTCTGATAGATTAAATAACAAACTTAAAATAATTCAAATCCTAATTTAAAAAGGACAAATCGTGTGCGCTAGTGAGTGGGGCTTAGGAAATGGAAACAAATTTTTGGGCCATGGTATTCCAGCCCATGCCTCATTTTAAGCATTTCGTGGAGGGGCATTTTGGGTACATAGTAAAAAATTATAATTTTTTAGCTAAAAAGTTATAAAAAGTTAACTTTTTTAGAACAAAAAAGCCAAAAAAATTACCAAAAAAAATCAAAAAATCAACTTTTTATTGATTTCCAAAAGCACTACGGAGTGCAGTGGACTGAATTATGACTCGAAAAATTCATTTGTTAGATTAGAAAGAAAAAAGAAGATAAATTAAATAAATTATAAAAAAATCTCTCGCTTTAAGATTCATGAAATGGCAAAAAAATTTATTGAGATTAGTTTTAAATTACACTTATCGCCCCTGAGCATAATGAAATTGCAAAAGCCTCTCTTAAAGTTTTTGAAATGATAAAAATCTCTTTTGAAAGCTTATTTTTAATTACACTACCCTCCCATGAGGTTTAATGAAATTATATAAACCTTTTCTAAAGTTTCTGAAATGACAAAACTTGAGATTAGTCTTTTATGACAACGTCCTTTTCCTGTTGAATTATCATTAAATAAATAAATAAATAAATTTTGACATCTTCAAATATTTTAATTATATTTTCAATTTTATCTTTTATAATTGTGTCCAATTACAAAAATAAATAAATAAATAAAAAATAGTAAGAAAAATTAGTGTGTGGTTGTGTCCATATATCATTTTTCAAAGTAAAATTCTTAACAATTTTGCATTGTTCCTAACTTCTTTTTTTTTTTGTTAAAATATTGGATAAATTATGTTGACTTCGGTTATTTTGAAAAAATGGTTAAAAACTATTTTTTGATTTTTTTAAACTTTTTGTGAAAGAAAGAAGTGAGCTAAAAGTTAAAAAATGACTTTTAACCCACATCCCAAAGTAGGTCAATCTTTTCCTCACATCGATTCTAAACTGGAAAATTGAAGCTTGCGAGATTGCTTGGTATCTTTTTTCTTGCTGAAATTGTGAGGTTTTTGAAATGACAAAATTTTTTTGAGGTTTCAATTACGCTAACATCCCCCAAAGTTCAATAAAATTGCAGAAAACCTTTATTGGGGTTTTTGAAATGACAAAAACCTTCATTGATATTTAGTTTCCAATTACACTAATATCCATTAAGGTTTAATGAAATTGTAAATCCTCTCATAAGATTTTTGAAATGACAAAAACATTTAAAGGTTTAGGAAGCGTTTGGTAATGTTTACGTTTTTTGTTTCTGTTTACAAAAATTTTATAAACTGATTTTTATTTATTTTAAAAAAAATATAAATTACAAAAGCGTTTGGTTTAAACCAAATGTTTGAAAAATTTTAAAAACATAAACTAAAAAATATATTTGTTCAGGCCTAAAATATTTATATTTGCTTTTTATTATTTATGACAATGGAATCATACACATTATAATTGAAAAAACAATAATTAAAAAATTATTTTAAAAAATTAATTGAAAAAAAAAATTTGTTAGTCAAATTTTTAAATTTCTGTTTAAAAACTAACGTAAACTCATTTTTTGAGTTTAGGTTTTTTCCTCAAATTTATAAACTGAGACAATCATTTATAAACCAAAAAAATTTATCAAACAAGTTTTTCGATAATTTTTTAAAATTTTTGTAAATATAAACTAAAAATTAAAAATAAAATAGTTACCAAACAGGCTCAGTTTTCAATTATATTGACCTCCTTGAGATTTAAGGAAATTGTGTGTGTCTTCTTTATCCAAAAACCTCTTGTGGTGTTGGATTGTGCAGGATCTCCTAAAATCAATTTACAACATAGAAACATGGAGGTTTTGGATAAAAAAGCAGCATATAATCAACAGTAACTATAGCATAACAAAGAGAGAAAACATAAATTGTATATTTTTTTAAAAAAATTTCTTTGTAATTGAATACAATTTTAAAGAGTAAAATTAGAAATATAATTAAATTATTTGATGGTGTCAATATTTTTTATTACTATTTTTACAATAAAATAACAAAAAGAGAGAAATTGCAATAAAAAATTAAGAAGGCTGCTAAATGCCTTACATTCTTACTTTGGATCCCTCATTTTTATTTTATTTTATTACAATTTTGTCTTAACATCAAATTTCAATTTTGTTCCCATCTCTATTCTCCCAAGTCTAACCCTAACCTTAATCTCACCACCACTTCCACTCCCACCGACACCCTCCGAAGACCAACCCACCACCACTTCCATTCCCGCCAATAGCCTCCGGAACTACCATTTCCACTTCCACTTCCCACTTTCACGACGCCCATCCTTCATGACCCCGACCACGTGATCTTCATCTTCACCAGCAGTTCAGATTCGAAACTAGAGCGACGAGTTGAACCTATTCTCTTTTCTCTCTTTCATGCGCAACTCTATTTCTTTCTTTCTCTATCTCTCTTTGTCGATCTCTCTCTCTGCCTTACAGTTTGGTCAATTTCCCTTCGATTGGTTACATAGAGCCGAACTTGTTGAATATATTTGGTGCTCTACAACCGAACATATGTCTTTTGTTCGGCTACATATTACCGAGCATTAGGCTTTTGTTCGGAATTAGTTTTTTGAGCGGTTGCCAGTGTGGTCGCAAAGGCAAAAAGAGAGGTTGAAATGCTTGTTAGAATGTGAGAGAGGTCCCAAAAGAGCGAGGATGGAGATCGAAAAGATGAGTAGGGGGTTATCGGTGATGGAGGGGCGTTGGGGAAGAGTAGCCGGAAGAGAATGATCACCGGAGTGGGAAAGGGACTGTTGAAAAAGGAAATGAGGAGTTGCAAGTAGAATGTGTAAGGGTGAGATTCAAAAGGTAGATTTGGGATTATGGTAGGGGTTCAAAGAAAAATAAAGAGAGAAGCAATTTTGGTGGTGAAGGGCCAAAAAAGTGGGGATGTGAAGTAAAAAAGTAGTTTTAGCAGCCCTCAAAATTAAACTTCAAGGGAGGTATATCTTTGGTGGTCCTAATAGTTAGATTTTATTTTCATCAAATCTTATTGAAAATAAGTCTTGGTAAAATTGTAATTAAAAATAATTTTTTATGACAATTTTTTATGTATGTTGCTAAAAATTGACACTTAGTGACTTTTTTTGTCATGATTTTTATAAATTATCGTTAAAATTTACAATTAGTAACTTTTTTTATGATAAATTTTTTCTATAGGACTTATTAGATAATAAATCCACTTATTAGGATCTACATATAAGTACCTCATATCTTATTTCAAAAACTTTAGGAATGTCAATGTAATTTAATTATGAAAAATGGTTGAAAATACTAAAAATGATGCTGTAATAATATCACTAATGATGTAGTAATGAGCCCCACCCACTGCCTATGTTTTTTTTTTTTTTTTTTTTTCAATTTGACATTTCTAACGCATTGGTATTAGTGGTTTTTTTTAGTGGAATGATTTAATTATTTATTTTCCCTCCGAATCCCCCACCGTAAACACGCTGCAGGTGGCAAAATGGTTCAAAAATGAAATTGTTGTTGCGCACAATAATCCTTTCATCTCTCTTCTACCACGGAAACCCTAGAAAAACCCTTATTTCCCCTCTCAAATCAATGGCTTGGACATGCTCAAAATGCACTTTCATCAACCCTTCCTCACAGAAATCAACCTGCCAGATCTGCTTATCATCAACATCTTCATCATCTTCTTCACCACCCTGTTCTTCTTCTTCTTCTTCATTTCCAACCACACCCAAATGGTCTTGCAAAGCCTGCACTTTCCTGAACCCATATCACAACACCAACTGCGATGTCTGCGGCACCAGAGCCTCGGCCATGTCGCTGTCGACCCTCGAAGACGTTGAATTGGATTCATCGGTTGGGTCTGTTTTCTTGCCCTTGCAGTCTTGCAAGAGGAAGAATCGAGAAGCCCCAATTGAGATTGCTGATGATTCTGTTGAACCAGGTGGTTTTCGTGGCGTTAAGGCGGCAAATAAGGAGGTGATTTCATTGGGTGAGTTCACACTTTTGTATGGTCGATTTGATTTTATGCATTTTTTTACTAGGTTTTGATCGCTTTGTTTTCTTTTTTCTAAACTGTTGTAATGAGAGCAGGAGAAAAAGGAAAAAAAATGTGATATTTGGGTGAGTGACCTTCCACCTGAAACCTCAATTTTACATGCCTGCACTTCTTTCCCATATTATGATTCTTTAAGGCTGTGTTTGGTTGATGGATTTGGAGAGGGATTTGAAAATAGAAAGGGAAAAGGTTGGTGAAATGTGAATGATATTTCACCTAAGTAGCCTAACTCTTTGTTTGGTATAATAGATGAGAAAAGAAAAGATTGTGGTTTTTACATTTGGGTGAGAAAAGAAAAAGAAATGATTTTTTTTTTTTTTTAATGTTTGAATGGGTAAGTAGGAAGAGCATGTGAGAGAGGATATGAGTAAGATTTTTTCTAATTTCAATATTATGGAAATTATATAATCAATCAGTTTTTTTTTCTCACCAAATCTCACTATTTTTTGTGCGAAATGAAAATCGGCAAAAATCAGAGAGTTCTCTTTCTTATCGGTTCTTATCATTTCCCAGAGAGAGAGACGCAATCCAAACAGAGTTAAATCTTTCCCAAATCAACAGATGAATCTCAGTCCTCCAAATATGCTTACTGGAAGAATTTCGCTAGTGCCAAAATTATGAGTCATTTATCACCAAATCAACCAATCCAAACAAGAGTTAAATCTGTCATAATGTATTCCCTCCCAAATCAACAGATGAGCCTGAATCCCTCAAATATGCTCACTGGCAGAATTTTGCTGGTGCCAAAATTACAATTATTGTATGTGCTAATTAGGTGCACTAATCAAAGGGTCACAACATTCCACCGCCTTTGAATAACCTTTTTGATTAAGGGTTGAAGTCTAGAAAGTGCTTCAGCGGATAATCACATCCCAAGTAGCATCTTCAGGTTGACTACAAGCCCACTGTACTGAAACTTAAGCCACAGCCTCGTTCCATGCTTCATCCATTTCAGTATTATTTCTGGACACACTTGAGAGATCAATCAGTTAGCCATTTCACGTAATGGGTGTGCTATAGTCACCCTGGAACTAAAGTCTTTCTTCAGCCAGTGGACATGAAGAATGGGGCGGATTTTTGAATTTGGAGGTATATTCAACTATAAGCAACTGATCCCATGCACTCTGAAATTTGATGAGGCCCATAAAACGTCAATAATTTAAGAGAGCTTCTCATGGCCAATGAAGTTAGGTATTTTATTGAGTTTGTTTTGTTAGCTATTTTATTGTCAAGAGTTAACATTTTTCTCTAGATATTGTATTCTAATCTTGTTTTTTCTTTAAGGTCCAATATTAGTGTTGTATTTTATTTCAGTTTGTGTTCTTTGTTAAGTGGCATTTGACGGGCTTGTTTACTTGTATTCTTGAATGGTACCAAGTCACATTGAATGTGCAATTCCTTGCTGTTTGTTTATAATCCAATTGTGCGATTCTTTGCAAGCGAAGGTCTAGTTATGGATAATAAACTTATGCTCAACAACGTGAGTGACTAAACTTGAAGCCAAAGATATTTAATAATATAGTTCATGGAAAGAATTGTTTTACAAAGAATCGAACTATTTAAGAATGAAGATATGTGGACTTCAATGTCTTAAGAATTTTAATGGGATTTGATTCAAGGTTTGAGAATTTTAATATGTAAAATTAACACGGAAGCAGTCTAGAGCTGACAACATGTGTGCTTTCAAGCTTGCTCTTTGTAAGGTGATCATATGTTGGTGGAAAAGTCCTCCTTGATCAAGCTTCTTAAGATTCTCAAGTCTGTTTGAGATTTTTTAGGGTCAACTGAAGGGCAGGAAATGATTCACTTCTTAATCTAAGGCTTCTGTTAATGTGGTGGTCTGACCTAATTTTGGACTGATTCTTAAGGTATACTTCGATCTTTTATTTTAAAGGGTATAAAAGACTTTTCAAAAGATCAGATTGTAGATAAAAGTTGGTTCAAAATACACTTTATGAGTTCCTATTTTATTAAATCGTAGTATATTTTTGTATATATTAGATACTCATTATGTTAATAATATTAGGTCATTTGTAGTTTTTTTTGGCAGTATTTGTGTTCACTGTTATAGCAGTTACTTATTTTTCCCCATTTGTGCATCTGTGGTTGTCGAATCCTAGGATTCACAAGTTCCATGTAATTGAAGATTAATTAATATGAGGCAAATCAGACAATAGTTTTTTGACAAGTGCAGTTGAAACTTTCAAAGGACCTGATTCAAGAACATTGAAGATTTTGAGTTATAATGTTTGGTTTCGAGAAGACTTGGAGATGCATAAGAGGATGAAAGCTTTGGGTGACCTTATTCAACTGCATTCCCCTGATTTGATATGCTTCCAGGTTTTTCTTATTTCCATTTTTTCATACAACGTTACATAAATTCTAAGGTTTTATGACTTTTCATTGTTTTTATGTCACCTTGCTCTGCAGGAGGTTACTCCCAATATCTATGACATTTTTCAACTATCCAGCTGGTGGAAAGTGTACCACTGCTCAGTTTCAAATGAGATGGCTTTTACTAGACCATACTTCTGCATGCAGGTGAGATTTTTATGATTTTCCCCATAGTAGGCTTCATTTTGTATATTTGGTTTTTATGAGGGAGGAATGTCTACGGTCAGCTGGATGGATGTTGCAGGCACTTTGTCCAACATCTACCATTCCATACAAACTGACACCCATGATGGCTTAAGATTTGACAGTATGATGTGCATTTACTTATTGAGGGCATCTTAGAATGTGCTTGTTGAACATGCTAGCACTGTTGGCACTGCAATTTACTTCCAGTTGAGGCTTTCTTCGGCTCAACTGGTAGGTTGGCTTATTTTTCTGGCTTATTTTTGTCTATAATTTACTTTTCTTTTTCTTTCTTTTCTTAGGTCCATCCTTAGACTGGACAATCTTCAAAATTATAATTGTACGGGGAGCAAATATTCCGGCAAGCCCGTACTTCTTTCTTTTTTAAAGGGTATAAAAGACTTTTCAAAAGATCAGATTGTAGATAAAAGTTGGTTCAAAATACACTTTATGAGTTCCTATTTTATTAAATCGTAGTATATTTTTGTATATATTAGATACTCATTATGTTAATAATATTAGGACATTTGAAGTTTTTTTTTGGCAGTATTTGTGTTCACAGTTATAGCAGTTACTTATTTTTCCCCATTTGTGCATTTGTGGTTGTCGAATCCTTGGATTCACAAGTTCCATGTAATTGAAGATTAATTAATATGAGGCAAATCAGACAAAAGTTTTTTGACAAGTGCAGTTGAAACTTTCAAAGGACCTGATTCAAGAACATTAAAGATTTTGAGTTATAATGTTTGGTTTCGAGAAGACTTGGAGATGCATAAGAGGATGAAAGCTTTGGGTGACCTTATTCAACTGCATTCCCCTGATTTGATATGCTTCCAGGTTTTTCTTATTTCCATTTTTTCATACAACGTTACATAAATTCTAAGGTTTTATGACTTTTCATTGTTTTTATGTCACCTTGCTCTGCAGGAGGTTACTCCCAATATCTATGACATTTTTCAACTATCCAGCTGGTGGAAAGTGTACCACTGCTCAGTTTCAAATGAGATGGCTTTTACTAGACCATACTTCTGCATGCAGGTGAGATTTTTATGATTTTCCCCCTAGCAGGCCTCATTTTGTATATTTGGTTTTTATGAGGGATGAATGTCTACGGTCAGCTGGATGGATGTTGCAGGCACTTTGTCCAACATCTACCATTCCATACAAACTGGCACCCATGATGGCTTAAGATTTGACAGTATGATGTGCATTTACTTATTGAGGGCATCTTAGAATGTGCTTGTTGAACATGCTAGCTTGTATGCTAGCACTGTTGGCACTGCAATTTAAGTTGAGTCTTTCTTCGGCTCAACTGATAGGTTGGCTTATTTTTCCGGCTTATTTTTGTCTATAATTTACTTTTCTTTTTCTTTCTTTTTTTGAACTTAGTTAAAATTTACCCTTTTTTAGGTCCATCCTTAGACTGGACAATCTTCAAAATTATAATAAAAATTATTATTTTTTGGATAAAATCTACTAAAGATGAAAGGGTAAATTACACTTTGCCCCTTTATGCTTGGCCACTTTCCTACTTTTTGGCCCTTAAAGTTTGTTTTTTCCCTTCTTGACCCTTGATATTTCAATTTTTTTTCTGACTTTACTCCTCAAGCTAATTTTTGATTAAAAATAAGACAGAAAATGCCACAATAATTCTCACATAACATAAAAAATGTATTATTATATTGGAGTTTTAGTTTATATTAGAGATGTGAGTTATATATAATAAAATATTTTTATGCTATGTGACTGTCAATGTGTTATTTTTTGTCTAATTTTTAACAGAAATTAACTTTAGGAGCAAAGTGGGAAAAACTTGAAACATGAAAGGTCAAAGTAAAAAAAAAAAAAAAAAAACTTTAAAGGCCAAAGTGGAAAAATGGTCAAACATAAAAGGAGTAAAGTGTAATTTACCCAAGATGAAAATAAGCCAAAAAGACCTAAAAGAAGTTGGCTTATTTTTGTTTTTGGTGAACATTTAAAAAAAAAAAATATCATTTTTAAATTTTAGAATTGTCTAGTCTAGTCTAGAGATGGACCTAAAAAGTGAAGAATTGACTTAAAAGCAGAAAAAAATTCAATAAAAGACAAAAATAAGCCAGCTTATAAGCTGTAGATATATTTGAATTTGCTGTTTCTGAATGCTTGGGTTATACACAATCAACAGTTTAGGTGTAGTTTACATGGTAAGGAAATTGACCCATCCACGTAATTGTATGCATCTAGTTGATCAATTATAAAAATGTTAGAATAGATCAGCCAGTTGCTTTATTGGAATATAATTTTGAGTCTGACCAGTAACTTACTCTTCAAAATTTTGCAAGGCCAGTCAATTTTAATTTTTTTTTGGCAATATTTCTTAGATATTTATATTTTTTTACCTTGGCATAGTTGCTTCCATTGTTGGATGAGTTGTTGTAGTAATGGTGATTTAAGACCTGATGTCCCTACCAAATAACTTGCAGTTAAGCAAACTGCCAGTAAAATCATACAGCTGTAAACCATTCAGTAATTCCATAATGGGAAGAGAACTTTGTGTCGCTGAGGTTGAAGTTCATGCAGACATGCCATTGGTTGTTGCCACTAGCCATCTTGAAAGTCCTTGTCCAGCCCCTCCGAAATGGGATCAGATGTTCAGCAAGGAACGTGTAGCTCAGGCACAGGAAGTGCTGAACCTTCTTAAGAAAAATGAAAATGTGATTTTCTGTGGTGACATGAACTGGGATGACAAGTTGGATGGTCAATTTCCTTTGCTCGATGGATGGGTTGATGCCTGGGTGCAGTTAAAGCCCGGAGAAAATGGATGGACATATGATACCAAATCGAACCAGATGCTTTCTGGTAATCGGACTCTGCAAAAGCGACTGGATCGATTTGTATGCAATTTGCGTGATTTCAAGATAAGAAGAATAGACATGATTGGCATGGAGCCCATACCAGGTCTGTCATATTGCAAGGAGAAGAAAGTGAAAAAGGAATTGCAAAAATTGATGCTCCCTGTGTTGCCTAGCGATCATTATGGGTTGCTATTAACAATCTGTGCAGAGTAATGTCAGTTAAGTGATCATATCCAAGCAGACAAGCAATGTTGATTGCTTTTTTGTGCTCTTTAATGCAATCATGCTTGATATGCAGTTTTGTATAGAAAAAGGTGGAATTATGTAAAGGGCTTATAACCTTTTGTGGAGCATTGTTTTCCATATTTTGTAAGAAACTACTTCTATGGGAATGATTTACTTATCGGATATTACTTTATCAATGCATCTCAGTGAGAACTGGAATATTGGATTGTTTTTTGAGTTTTTGACCTGTCATCCTTAGCATCAAACTGAATGTATTATCTAGTTTTTGCTCATATTCTTTCAAGAATTTCTTGTTTTCCGTTGCCTTAAAATGTCAGGTACTTGATTAGATAGGGAGGGATTGAAATCCCATTAAGATCCTTGGTGATTGAATTCACATTCTCATTTGCCATACCAGAAATGGATTTCCTCTGATGTTCTTTCAGAGAGAATGATTATTTGGAGGGCTGAGTGAGGTATTGAAGCTCTTTGATCAAAGAACTAGTTGGTTGGTTACCATGAGCAATCAGAGGAAGCATTGGCAACCAAATTCTATATTCTTCATCTTGTCTTGTAGTTACTCTTTATTAGTTTGAACTTGCTTTTGTAATTCTTGTTTGAATCACCTATGTTTTTGAGCTCTGTGCCAAAGTTGCCGAAGTATATATTTTGACTAAGCATTTCTCTGCTAAAGAAAATTTTGCAAATGACTTCATTGAGAGAACTGGTGGAGTTCCTTTTTCTGTTGTCCATCTCTAATTTGACAAAGGCTGATGCTCCTCTATGCTATTTTTGTTCATCTTAAACAGCTCACCAATTGAGATGATAAGAATTTTTTTTTAATTTTTTCTCAATTTTGAGTTCACTTTGGTTCACCATAAGGCAGCATCATTTGGCAGCATTGTGCATAACTCTGTTCTGATGTATTCACTTTCGTTCTGAACTTGACAGTCCCATTACTATTATATTATTTGGTCACATAGCTCGATTTTCATCGACAAACAATCCTCTGAATCTTGAGCTCGATTTTCATTGACAAACAATCCTCTGAATCTTGAGAGGTCTGCGTGATTGCTATCAACATGTGGGAAAAGCCAACTTCAAGTCATACACCACTGCTACAACAAAGCGAAGATGTTATAGGATTTGAGTTCTAATTGTATTCTTCTGTTTCTTTATACAATTAAATGGAGCACCAATTCACATTTGAAGGATATAATAAGTTGGTTCTGTTGTATTTTACTAGGCAATTGAACGAAGAAGTCAGTCTATAACGGGATAACCAAATAAGCAGAGGCCTCACCATGAAATCAAGTTAGTTTTCTTGAGATGGCTGTCAGCTAGTTTTGTTTTGTTTTGTGTTTTGTGTGTTTTTGTTTTTTTTCTTCAAATTCGTGCATATTCACGTATTTGTTACATACGAGAAATGTAAATTAAAATGTTACATTCTAATGCAATCCAACAGTTTCCTAATAAATATTTGTTACATAATTTTTTGGGTTTGACTTCCCTCCAATCCGTGATCGGATTGGGCCCGTGGGGGCCTATCACGGATCTCGTTTTGATAATCTGAACCATTCAATGTGTAGAACTCGTCAAGTATTATATACTTGCAAAAAATTACGTTGACAAGATATTAATAGAATTCATAAGAAGTTAATTAAAAAAACTCCCACCATTTTTTTTTATCGAATACAAATTTTTTTAAAAAATACACAACTAAATAACTATCCATAAACTCACTAACCACACATCACATATAATCCAACTGTGTGTTTGATTCAAGGGATTAGAGGGGGATTATTTACTATTTGGATTGCTTATCTAATTGAGGGAGATGTCCATGATTTGGTGTAATTTTAGTCTGCCGGACATTAAGTTCGGCCGGACTCCATATCCTTCATATGAAGGACTAAACAATCGCAGGGGGTGTGAAATATTTATTTTACCCTCATGTTATTACTTAGTAAACAATTAAAAAAATGTAAAATAGTCTTTTGAACATTTATAAATTATTCTTTTAGTGTTGTTAATTTAAAATTATATATTAAATAAAAATTATAAATTATAAATTAAATTTATTTAAAAATAATAAATTAAAAATTATGCCTTATAAATTATTTTTTTTAGTGTTGTTAAAAAATTAAATTTATATATTAAATAAAATTACTTTTTTGGTGTTGTTAATTTAAAATTATATATTAAATAAAAAATATAAATTATAAATTTAATTTAATTGAAAAAAATTAATTAAAATTTATGGCCTTATAAATTAAAATTTTTTTGTGCTGTTAAATTATAAATTATAGATTACAAATTTAAAATTATATATTAAGTAAAAAAATATAAACTATAAATTACAAGGGTAAAATAGTCTTTTGAACATTTATCTTTATCTAGTCTGTCCAACCAAATATTAGATTTACTAAAAATAATCTTTTTTAGACATCTGTGAGAAAACAAACATGAGATACATATCTAATCCAACCAAATAGTCCAGGGAATTCACAGTCTCAGGATTCAAGTCCGCTAGATTTTAATCTCCCTTATCTAGTCAGTCCAATCAAATCACTAATGGAGATATAAAAAAATAGGAAAAACCAATTAAATTAATTGAACCAGTCTAAATTGACTATATTTGGTCTTTTTTTAAATAAGAATCGGTTTGTGCGATTTTTTAATTTATTTTTTTTTTATTTTCAGTTCGATATCGGTTCAAGCACCTTGTGTACTGAACTAAACCGAAACCGACCGCTTCAACATATATTATATTTATAATATATATAATTTAATAATATAATGATATTAATAAATATATTAAATTATTAACCTTATCATCTTTAGGTTTGTAATATTTTATTATATATAATTTTAACTTTAACTTATTATTCTTAAAGCTTTGGTGTTTTTAACTTCTTTTTTTTTTATTCTTAAAGCTTTGGTGTTTTTAACTTTTTTTTTTTTGGTTTGTATTTTTATTAATCTATGAATTGAAAAGTATTTATTAAATGGATGGATTTAACATGTTTGAAGTAGTGAACAAATAATTAATTCAATGTTTTATATTGGAAAGTGACTACATATTAAAAAGTAGTTCAAGTTTCAAAATTGAGTCGATTTGCTTTAGTGCAATTTGAAAAGAGAGGTGAACTGTATCAGTACTCAAAATAATAAAATCAACATTATTAATTTGGTAATAATTTTTACCAAAATACCGATCGTACTATACCAAACCGATTACATCTCTAAGACTTTAATTACTATCTAACTAATTAATAACTAGGACTCTAATTACTATCTAACTAATTAATAATAACCAACATAAATATAAAACAATATGAACTTATCAGATCTTCGCTCTTACCCCCTTGAGATTTTTTCACCCCCAAGATGTCCTCTCTTCTCAAACTCTCTTGCCGTACTGCCGGACTGGCGATGTCGTTGAGCCTTGGTGGACGACCGGCAGCGATGCGGAGATGTGGTATTGATTTCGTATACGGTCTCATTCTCCTCAACACCTTTTCCTCTGATCTTCTCCTTTGAAATTCCATCTTTGATCTTCTATCAATACATTGTCTTCATACTCCGAGATGTTTTATATTTTTGCCATTTTTTGTTTTGTTTTGTTTTGGTGTGTGCTGTTGTTGTATATGTGCTGTACGTATATACTATCGGAACCGACTTCTGATTTCGGTTTCAGAGACACACGGTTTCGAGAACCCGGGGGTGCAGCAATCTGCTGTGCTCCCGTGGTGGATTTTTTTCGAGTCTTTTTGGATGATTTGAACCGTTCATATTGTAGGATTTGTTAAGGAAAATGAGTGAGATCACTAAAAAGATAAGTACTAATAGTTCTAAATTGGTGTAGGTCTCACATGATCAGATGTTTTGCTCGTTTGTTTGTTTGTTTGTTTGTTTTTTTTTACCTCGTTAGTGGTCAATTAGTGCTCCCAAATTAGTGGATGAATCATTGTTGTTTGTTAAATAAATCATCCATGCAAAAAATCAAATTGATTGAAAATCTATGACTTTATAACAAGAGTACATTTGCTTTTTAAAAAATAAATGGTTAACATTATCTCAATAATTTTTGTAAAACAATTTGAATCTAATCATAAGGTTACAAATTTCTAATTAATTTGATTTTTGATATACTTGACGAACTCTGCAATATGAACGGTTCGAATTATCGAAAAAGACTCAGAAAAAACATCCACGGACTCACAGCAGGTTGCTGCTGTGACTTAATCCTAGCAGCAGCCCCAGGCCCCGGTTTCCATCTGAAGTGGGTCGGAATCGGTTTAACACAATTTGGATCCTATGCTTTCGGATCAGTTGACGGGCTGTGGGTTCCAGTATTAAACTCGAGGGATCCATTCATTAGTGACTCTTTCGTCAGCCTACACGACACCCCTGGACCTATGATGGGTTCAAAGGTGGTTGAATAGGGAAGATTGTATTTGGAGAACCTTTTACAACCTGATGGGGTTCGGGCCGGGAATGGGGAGAGTAAGAGTGGTGATTTAGAGCATTAAATTTGAAGCTCTAAAAATACCACTAATGAGGTGGCAATGTAAAGAAAAAAAAAATAAAACAAAACAAAGGCTAACCTATCACATCAGTGGTGGGGTCCACATAATGCCACATGATGCATTAGTGATGTTAAATTAGTGGTATGAAGCATTTTTCGGGGATAGTAATGTTTTTTACCTGATCCCTACCTGACCCGTAAATATTCTAATAAATAAATAATAACATTATATGTAATATGGGTGTGTTTGATTGGACAGATTGGACAGGAGATTAGAATCCATCGGACTTGAATTCTGGAACAGTGAATCTCCCGAACTATTTGGTTGGATTGGATATCTATCCTGTGTTTGTTTTTTTATGGGATTAGATGTCTGGAAAGAACTATTTTTAGTAAATCTATTTTTAGTGAATCTAAATGAACAAAAGATAAGATTATTTTATCATTTTTTAATTGTTTACTAAGTAATAGTAATATTAAACATATCTTTAATATTTTAATTATTTTTAGTTAGATTAAACAAAAATTTATTTTATTTTATTTTTTACACAATTAAATAAATTTATTTTTTAAAAATTAAATAAATAAAATATCAATAAAAATATTGGTTATTTTTTTAATTAAAATTTTAAATAAATTTGTTTTTAAAAATAATAATATAATAATTAAAACAATGAAATTAAATAAACAACTATTAAATTTAAATAATGAAATTAAATAAAATATAAACAAAATTTTAAAATAAAACATCAATAAAATATCTATAAAAAATTATTTAAAAAAATTAAATAAATAAAACATCAATAAAAAGTTAAATAAAGTTATTTTATTTTTAATTGAGACATTTAAATTTTGTTGAATTTTATTAAATATAATACATAATTAAATAGTAAATGGTCAAAATGATCATTTTACCTCCTAATCCCAACAATGAATAGTCCTCTAAAAATTGTCCCACACCTCCCGGGACAGTCCTCTAAAAATTGTCCCACACCCCGAGGATACAATAGTGAGGATACAATAGTCCCAATATGTGGATAAGGAGTCCGGCCGAACTCCATGTCTGGTGGACTAAAAAAAAAAAAAGTGCGGATTGGATGGTTCTTCCGGATTACAATCCGCACAGTAAATAGTCCCTTCTTTATCCCTAATCAAACACGGTGCATAATATATTATTGAATTTTATTAGGATATATATAATATCTGTATTATTGAGTTCTATAATATTATATATATATATATTATATAATTTAATTTTAATATATTTATAATATATAATATATTTTTTTAATTATAAATATTATTTTTTAATTTTAATTATTGAGTTTTATTATTATTGTTAAATCACCATTGTGCTGTGGAGCAGGTTGTGGATCGGGTGGGGTCGGTTGTGTTCGAGAGTGTGGTTTACATTTGCGGGTTTGGATTGGGAGTGTGGAGGGTTTCATGAGGGTCGAGTCGAGTGGGGGCAAGCGAAGGAAATGGAGGTGGGGGTGGGGTAGGGGGGACCGACCCATTTCCTACCTATTGCCATCCCACGAAACATGAAAAATAGGGTGGATTTTTTAATCTGGACGCATATTAAATTTATAAGCAACTAATTCCATGCACTTGAAAATTTGATGAGTCCCATCAAACCACGGAGATAATTTAATTCTCATGGTCAATGCAGTTGGGCGGTAAGGCTAAAATGGGAGATAAACCAAATCACCAATGTGAAACTCTCTTTCAGTCTTATTTTCATTAGCTTGGAACTTCATTCTTTCTTGTGATCAGTGCACATTCTTCCTAATTATCTGAATTGTATGACATCGATCATGAAGTTCTTGATCAACATTGTTCACATTATTTCCTCCTCCTATTACATAAGTGAGCAAGGCTACCCAAGCCTCAGATGGTGTACTTTTAATTACTTCATGACAAGTCCTTTGTAATTAATGTTGACAAATTGAATTGGCTTGTTTTAGCTCATCTTGATCCTTGAATTTGTTATTTTGGCTTGTGGGCTTGATGGGTTTCTTTCCTTAGCTATTTTATTGGAATGAGTTCACATTTTTCTGTAGAGATCGTATTCTTCTTGGTTGTTTTAGGCCCAATTTAAATATTGTATTTGATTTCAGTTTGTGTTCTTTGCATTGTGGTGTTTGATGAGCTTGTTTACTTATATTCTTGAATGGTACCAAGCCACCTTAAATCTGCATTTCCTTTTGTTTTTTGTTTACGATCCAGTCGTGTGATTCTTTTCAAGAAGTTTAGTTTTGGATAATAAACTTATATTCAACAATGTGAGAAACTAAAGTTGAAACCAAAGATATTTAATGATATAGATTTAGTTCATGGCAATAAGTTTTACAAACATGAATTGAACTATTTAAGGGTGAAGGCATATGTATTTTATTGTCTTAAGAATGTTGACAGGATTTGATTTGAGGATGGAGAACTTTAGTATGCAAAATTAAAACGGAAGTAATCTGGGGCTGACAAAATGTGTGCCTTCGAGCTTTGCTCTTTCTAGGGGGATGCAAGAGCATATGTTGATGGAAAAGTGAAGTCTGAGGTTTTCTAGGGTCAATGAAAGGGTACGAATCGATTCACTTTTAATATAAGGCTTTTGTTTGTGGGGTGGGCTGACAGAAATTTTCGACTCATTCTTAAGGTATATTTGGAGCTTCTATTTTAAAGGGTATAACAAAATAGACTTTTTAACAGATCAGGTTATAGGTAAAAGTTGGTTCAAAATGTGATTCATGAGTTCTGATTATATTTAGTAGTGATAGGCTAGTAGGAAATTATGTATATATTAGATACTCATTATGTTTAATATTATGGTGTTTGAAGTTTTATGGCAGGATTTTGTATTCACAGTTGTTTCCTTTTCCTCTTTTGTATATCTGTGGTTATTGAATCCTAGGACTTACAAGTTGCATGTAATTGAAGATTAGTTAATATGAGGCAAAGGAAACAATAGTTTTTTTTTTTTTGACAGTTGCAGTTGAATCTTTTCACAGGAATGGGAATTGCTTCGAGAACATTGAAGATTTTGAGTTATAATGTTTCGTTCCGAGAAGACTTGGAAATGGATAAGAGGATGGAAGCTATTGGTGACCTTATTCAGCTGCATTCCCCTGATTTGATATGCTTCCAGGTTTTTCTCATTTCCATTTTTCGACCATGTAACATACATTCTGGCTTTTATGACTTTTAGTTGTTTTTAAGGTCGTTTTTCTCTGCAGGAGGTTACTTCCAGAAGCTATTGCATTTTTCAACAATCCCGCTGGTGGAAATTGTATCGTTGCTCAGTTACAGAAAAGCCGACATATAGACAATACTTCTGCTTGCAGGTGAGATTCTTATGATTTTTCCATAGCAGGGTTCATTTTGTATTTCTGGTTTTCGCAAGGGAGGGATGTCTAGGGCCATTTCATACAAACTGGGCACACATGATTTGACAGTATGATGTATGACGTTGTATCAAAGACATCTTAGAATGCATTTGTTGAACATGATTACCTGTATACTTGTGCTGTTTAAGACACTGAAATTTACTTCCAATTGATTACATATTCAACTTTCTGTTTTTGAATGCTTGGTTTGTGTTGTACACAATCACTGGTTTAGGTTTATTTGTTTACATAGCTACTAAGGAAATTGACCCATCCACCTAACTGTATGCATCTGGCTGATCAATTATAAAAATGTTAGAATAGAAAACTTGCATCCAAAATTTTTAGAATCTTGCTTTGTTTTGAATATTATTTACTTTGTATTCTGACCAATAACTTGTGGTACAACAAATTTGCAAGGCAATCTCTCTCTCTCTCTCTCTCTCTCTGTGTGTGTTTTTTAAGAAATGTTTCTTATATATGGTACATTTTTAATCTTGATATAGCTTCTTTCATTGTTGAATGATCAAATTATTCCCCCCTCCCTCATGGTTATACATCGTTTGCCTTGTTTCTTGGGTGAATTAGACTTTGCCTCTTTTATGTTTGGAAATTTTCTCAAGTTGAAGGTTTTTTTCTTTAAAAAAAAAATTAGACAGAAAATGTCATGTTAACTGCCACATGACATAAAAAACATATTATTTATATTGGGGTTTGGATTTGTGTTAAAGGTGTGAATTATATACAATAAAATATTTTTATGCCACGTGACTGTCAATTTGTCACTTTCTATCTAATTTTGGTTTTGGATATAAGTTACCTTTTGGATTAATGCCTCGTTTGAGAACATGCTATTAGTAACTTTTTGGTTTTTTAGTTAAAATATGAGATAAAAAAAACTAGTATGTTTGGAATGACTTTTTGATTTTTTACGAAAAGATGTGCAAAAAGTAGAGAAAAAAATGAATCTTTGACTTTTTGGTATAAGTTATAGACTTTTTGATTTTTTTAGTAACTTTTGACTTATAGACTAAAACAGTCACATGCCAAATGAGTAAATAGGGAAAAAGTTGAAATATGAAGGGCTAAAATGGAAAAAAAATGTGAGAAAATGACTAAACGTAAAGGGGCAAAGTGTAATTTACTTTTTTTTTTTCCTTCTTAAATTTGCCCGACGAGTTTTTGCAGTAAGTGGTTATTTAAGACCTGATGTCCTTATCAAATAACTTGCAGTTAAGTAAACTGGCAGTAAAATCGTACATACGTAAACCATTCAATAATTCCATAATGGGAAGAGTACTTTGTGTTGCTGAGGTTGAAGTTCAGGCAGACATGCCATTGGTTGTTGCCAGTAGCCATCTTGAAAGTCCTTGTCCCAAATGGGATAAGATGTTCAGCAAGGAACGTGTTGATCAGGCAAAGGAAGCACTGAATTTTCTTAAGAAAGATGTAAACGTGATTTTTTGTGGTGACATGAACTGGGATGAGGAGTTGGATGGTCAATTTCCTTTGCCCGAAGGATGGGTTGATGCCTGGGTGCAGTATAGGCCTGGAGAGAATGGATGGACATTTGATACTAAATCCAACCAGATGCTTTCTGGTAATTGGCCTCTGCAAAAGCGACTGGATCGATTTGTATGCAATTTGCGTGATTTCAAGATAAGAAGAATAGACATGGTTGGCATGGAGGCAATACCAGGTCTATCATATTGCAAGAAGAAATTAATTGACATGGAGGCATTACCAGGTCTATCATATTGCAAGAAGAAAGGGAAAAACAAGAAATTGATGGTCCCTGTGTTGCCTAGTGATCATTATGGGTTGCTGTTAACAATCTGTATCAAGTAATGTCAGTTAAGTGATCGTATCCAAGCAGGATGCACAGTGTTGATTGCCTTTTGTGCTCTTTTTAGGGTTTAGGATTTAAGGTTTATGCAGTTTTTTTGTAGATAAAGATAGAATGATGTAAAGGGCTTATAACCTTTTGTGGAACATTGTTTTCCATATTTTGTAAGAAACTACTTCTATGGAAATGATATACTTATTAGATGTTACTTTATTAAGACATGCCATCGAGAACTAGAATATTGGATTGTTATGTGAGTTTTTGCCCTGTCATCCCTAGCATCAAACTGAATATATTATCTAGTTTTTGCTCATATTCTTTCAAGATTTTCTTCTTTTCCATTGCCTGAGAATGTCAGCTACTTGATTTATTATATAGAGGGGAATTGAAGTCCCATTCTTATTTGCCATACCAAAAATGAAGTCACATTCTTATTAATATCCTTATTTGCCATACCAAAAATGTCAGTTACTTGATTTATTAATATCCTTGGTGATTGAAGTCACATTCTTATTTGCCATACCAAAAATGGATTTTCTCTTATGTTCTTTCAGAGAAAATGATTAGTTGGTTACCATGAGTAATTACAAGACGCATTGGCAAACAAATTCTACATTCTTTATCTTGTCTTATAATTACTCTTTATTAGTTTCAACATGCTTTTGTAATCCTTGTTTGAATCACTATATATATATATATTGGAGTTCTGTGCCAACAAAGTTTCTGTGCCAACAAAGTTGCCAAAGTATATAAGCATTTTTTTTTTTTTTTTTTTCAAATTTGAGTTCACGTCGGATCATTCTTGCCATTCTTATTAATATCCTTATTTGCCATACCAAAAATGTCAGTTACTTGATTTATTAATATCCTTGGTGATTGAAGTCACATTCTTATTTGCCATACCAAAAATGAAGTCACATTCTTATTAATATCCTTATTTGCCATACCAAAAATGTCAGTTACTTGATTTATTAATATCCTTGGTGATTGAAGTCACATTCTTATTTGCCATACCAAAAATGGATTTTCTCTTATGTTCTTTCAGAGAAAATGATTAGTTGGTTACCACGAGTAATTACAAGAAGCATTGGCAAACAAATTCTACATTCTTTATCTTGTCTTACAAATACTCTTTATTAGTTTCAACATGCTTTTGTAATCCTTGTTTGAATCACTATATATATATATATTGGAGTTCTGTGCCAACAAAGTTGCCAAAGTATATAAGCATTTTTTTTTTTAGTTTTTTCAAATTTGAGTTCACATCGGATCATTCTGGCAAGCAGCTGTCAAAGGTGGGTTTGCCATAATAATGCATTGCCATTTGGGTGCATTGTGTATATCTCTGTTCTGATGTATTCACTTGACAGTCCCAATACTACTATGTTATCGGATACATAGCTTAAGTTTCATTGACAAACAAACCTCTGAATCTTGAGCTGTGTGATTGTTGTCAACATGTAGGAAAAGCAGACTTCAAGTTGCTTCAACAATGCATACATGTTATAGGATTTCAGTTCTACCTATATTGTTCTGTTTCTTTCTACAATTGAATGGAGCACCATGTCACATATTGAAGGATGTAATAAGTTGGTTCTGTTGTATTTTTTGTTCGTGCAAAAAATACAAAATTTATATTTTTTGACTAAGACACAAGTTTTGGCTAAAAATCAAGAGGTCTTTAGTGATATGTGGGTGTGCCTAGGCAACAGTGCCTAAGTTGTGGAAATGTTTTTGGAAAAATCTGACTTTTAAAACAAGGGAGATTGTGTTGAAGTTCAGAGGATAAAAACTTCCTGATTCTTGTTTTGCCTCTCAATTAAGAGGACTTGAAATTTTCATGGAGTTTATAAAATCAAGAAGAGGGGTAAATAGAAGGAAATGAACACCAAAATGCTTACTTTTATAAATCTAATGGATTGAAAATACAAAACCATAAGAACAAGTTTGAAAACATAAAATTGAGTTATAAAATGAGATTGAAACACAATCTAAGTTTCAAAATAATATCTATGAAGGCCAAAAACAACTAATTTGATATGGATGTCCTGATCTAAGGCAAAAACTTTGGCAAAAATGCCTATTTATTCTAGGGGTACTTACATATAGGTCTTAATAGGTGGGTTTATTGTCCAATAAGTTATGTAATAATTAATGATATTTTTCATCAAACACTATTAAAAAAAGTCACTAATTGTTAATTTTTAGTGACCGTTTGAAAATTTTGTTACAAATAATGTTACTAATTACAAGTTTTAGCGATATTTAAAAAATGTCACTAATTTTCAACTTTTAGCGACAATTCAAAAAATTTGTCACAGAAAAACGTCACTAATTGTAAGTTTTAGTGACAATTTATAAAAATCGTGACAAAAAAAGTCGCTAATTGTCAATTTTAGCGACATGCAAAAAATTGTTACAAAAATTATTTTTAGCGATGATTTTACTATAACTAACTTTCAATAGGACTAAATGAGAATTAAGGCCTCGTTTGGGAACAGGCTAATTTAGTAATTTTTTGGCTATTTGGCTAAAAAGGTAGGTAAAAAAAACTTGTATGTTTGGAAACGTCACTAATTGTAAGTTTTAGTGACAATTTATAAAAATCGTGACAAAAAAAGTCGCTAATTGTCAATTTTAGCGACATGCAAAAAATTGTTACAAAAATTATTTTTAACGATGATTTTACTATAACTAACTTTCAATAGGACTAAATGAGAATTAAGTCAAATTATTAAGACCTATTAGTATTTTACTCTTAAGTCTACTCCTAAGTTGAACTTAGTTTGGGATGATTTAAATAAGTGCACTTTTTGACTTTTTATGAAAAAACGTGAAATATAGATTAGGTTTGAAGTGATGTTGTAGAGAGGTGATGTGATTTAAATAGGATGATATGACTTAAATAAGATAATGACTTTTTATTGGAAATTTAGCTATAAACCCCCTTTACCTTCCTTTCATTGTTAAAAGGACTAAGAAAAAAATTATACTTCTAAACTCCCTCATAATTATAAAGTCTTGCATAAAGGACAAAATTTATTATTTAAATATTTTATCAGACTATTATACCCCTCAACTAGATCTTCCTACCTTCTCCGTCTCTCTCCTCATCCGCTTTACCAAGATCAGCGACGGACATCACAGATTTCATGCCCGGTAGTAGTGGTGGATCTAGATTTGGAACCAACAGATTTAGATTTCACAGTTGAGCAGAAGCAACGACAGATCTGGATTTTCGATTCAATAGCAAAGGTAACGTTGAAGACGACGACCTCGTTGACAGCAGCTTCAATCGCCGTCGGCTTCTCGAGGTTATGCTGTTGCGTACGGTGGTGTCGACGTGAAGAATGCTTCGGTGGAGGTGAGGCCGGAGTTTGAATACGGTTACGATGCTAATGTGGTGAAAGGTTCGGAGTTTGATGTGGTGAAACAGTGAAGAAAACGACAACTGAACTTATGATGAAAGTTCTATCCCAATCTGCAGCACAAAGTCCGCGTAGTCTCTGGATTTCTCTACGGCTGTAAGAAGAACAAGAAAATATATGTATATATATATTTGTGTGTATGAGTGTTATTGAACACATGTATTCTTTCCATTGAGATTTGTGATTGTTGATCGAGTTTTAGAAGTTTTTCTTTTCAATTAGATATGTTGATTTGTTGATTAATTTATTTTGTTTTTGTTTGTTTGTTTGTTTTTTATTGTGGATTTATTTTTGTTGTTTTTGATTTGATTTCATTTGACAGAACCAGATAATGAGAGTAAAATTTTACTCTGGTTCTATTGCTCTGTTTTTTGTTTTAGATAATGAGAGTAAAATTTTACTCTGGTTCTATTGCTCTGTTTTTTGTTTGAGAGAATTAGAGTAAAAATTTACTCTGGTGTTAGAATGACAGTAAAATTTTACTGTCAAGAGGTGGTTATTGCCAAACACTTCAGCCACCACAAACACTGCCTCCGCTTTTTTACTTTTGTGCAGAGTAACATTTTACTTTTAGTTTCAGAGTCTCACAGTTTACTCGTTTTCTAGAGTAAAATTTTACTTTTATACAGAGTAAAATTTTACTTTTGTGTAGAAACATTTTACTAGTTTTTCAGAGTAAAATTTTACTTTTATACAGAGTAAAATTTTACTTTTAACTTCAGAGTCTCACAGTTTACTCGTTCTTCAGAGTAAAATTTTACTTTTATACAGAGTAAAATTTTACTTTTGTATAGAGTCTAACATTTTACTAGTTTTTCAGAGTAAAATTTTACTTTTAGTTTCAGTGTGTAAAATTTTACTGTTATACAGAGTAAAATTTTACTTTTATATAGAGTAAAATTTTACTTTGAAATACACGAAAAAGATGGCTTAATAGGAGAGCTGATAGATATGAGAGTAATATAGTAAAAGAAACAAGTTTTAAAATATTAGGGGGTTTTGAAAGTACTTATATAATTCTTATCCTTTTGAAAGACAAATTAGATAGCGAGGGGGCTATCACCAAATCCCCCTTTAACTTTTTGACCTTTTTAAATTATGCCAATCTAGCCCTAAGGCTAAACTAAAGATAAAAAGCACGGGTGCTTTGTACCTTGTTGTGTCGAATAGTTAATTGGTTGGGATTTGCTCCATCTTTAATTGTGATATTTATAGAGGCTAGATTCTCCTGAAAATCGTGGCTGCCTCTTGGGAATCTCCATAAAATCTTGAAAGTTGTTTGTTGAATTGCCTCCTCTAGTGACACATGTCTCATCTTTCTCCTCCTTCTCAGCAAATGGTTGTTTATTTCCCAAGAATAGGGCTGACCAAATCCTCTAGAGGGTCTTGGATGGTTACCACCTGTGTATCACTGGTCAAAGTGGTTGCATTAATATAGCTGCTGGAAATTCAAATTGTAACCGTTGGATACTTTCGATAATGGATATGGTGGTCATTAGATTTTGACCACGTGTTCCACTTGTTGAATTTATCAATATCCATATATATATATATATATGTATCCATTAAGAGAGAGAAAGGGCCTCATGTGATCATTTCCCCTTTTTAAGAATTTGATCTCTTCACCATCAAAACCATGGTTGCAGTATCCCTTTCCAAATTTACCACCCACTACAAAAATTTTAGGTTTTTGCGATAGAAAAATGTCGTCGCTAATACTCCTAATGTCATTTCAAAATTTTTTTA